TTTTTTTGGTACTGGGGATCTAACTTGGGTCCTTGAGCTTGCGCAGCAGGTGTTGAAACCACTGAGCTAAATCCTCAGCCCTCCTCTTCTTTTTTTATCTGTCTTTTTTACTTATTAATCATGTCTTGCATTATGGGGACAATCTCTCCTGCTCTCTGAGAAATTATTTCTGATTTCATTTTTTCTAGATCCTCTTTTGTTGCCAGTTCAGGGAGTCCAGGTTGTTGAGTATCAGATTGTTCCATCTTGTTTCCCTTAGGGGTTGCTTTAGGAGATCTGGGAGTCTGGTTTTGAGATTTGTTTAAGTGTCTTCTCATTTCAAGCTGTGGTGGGGGCAGGGATGTGTGCTTGTGGCGCCTGTGTGGTTCACTTCCTTGGCGCTGGGGGCAGTGGTAGGGCCGCCTGGAAAGTTCACCTCCTTTTGCGCTGGGGGAGCTGTGCTGCTTGGCTCTGGGGCCAGTGCTATGGTGGCCCAGAAGGTGTCTCCTGGTTTGTTGATAACTGCCTTTTCCTTGTCCTTACATGGTCTTTCCTCTCTGAATGTCCTAATCTCTTCTCCTAAAAGGACATCAGTCATAATGGATTAGGGAACATCTTTATAACTGCGTTTTACTTTATCTCTCTAAATACCTGTATCTTATATGGTCACATCCTTGGTACTTGGGGTGGGGGCTTCACCATAAGAATTTTGGGAGACACACTCAGCCATTAGAGAGAGGAAAGCCAAAGCTGTATGCTTGGACTTTTGTTTTGACGGAAATGCTGTTTGTCCTGTCTGATGTAGGAGCAACAAGCTGTAGGTTACTGTTGAGCACTTGAAATGTGATTCTTGTAACTTAGGACTTGAAATTTTAATTTTTAAAAATTTAAATTACATTGAAATTTAAACAATCATGTGTCAGGCTACTATATTGGACAGTACAGGTAAGCATGCTAAGATAGTTTAAAAAATTAATTATACTATTAGCAGTGAAAATTCTGTTTTACTGATACAGTGTACAGATGCCATGTATATAAGGTAAATATAAACCTGTTTTTCTCTTGGCTTTCTTGAATGCTTGTCCTTTTGTGATGTAGTACAAGGAGGTAATTGCATCTCATGATAACCCTTTCAACATAATTCAGAATCCTCCAGGCTGAACAATGTAGTACTCTATATGTTCTCCCAGTCCCCTTCTTTGCTTCTCCCACATTCCCAAAATGACACTTCCTTGTTGGATGAGCACAGTGATTTGGAGTGGGACCAATCAGCATGTTTTATGAATGGCCAGTGTAAAGTGCTCTGCTGTCCTTCTGCTGCAAAAGAGAAGAGAGTGACAGGTACTTGGTGCAAGCAGTTGGCTTGGTATGTATATTTGGAGTAATGTAGGAGTACAGAATTGTTGATTGCCAGTAGATTTGAATTATAGGAGTAATCACTTTCCAGATGAAGTATATGGAAATTCCCTTTGAGTTTTTGGGGAATATTGTTTAAAAAAAAAAGATTATTGATGATTAGTCTGAATGAGATATTTTGTTAGGGTTAAGTTTCTATATTTTAGACTTGTAAATCTGTAATTCTGCATAGGTCTGTGTGTTTCAGAAATCGCGGAAAGAAATACCCGGAGACACAGAATTTGGGTAAAATAATAAGTTTGCTTGCAAGCAGGCAGGACCGCCAGAAACTGGTCTGGTCAGTGTCCGCACCGATGTTTGTTCAGTTTCCCTTTTTTTTTTTTGTTTTTGGTACCAGGGATCAAACTTGGGTTCTTGCACTTGCACAGCAGGCAACGACAAAACCGCTGAGCTAAATTCTCCCCCCCCCCTTTTTTTTTTTAGTTTCCCTTTTTATGCCCCTTTTGGTTGGTCATTATCTCATTCCTAGTGGTCTTTGTTGAGTAAGTAAAATTCCAGTTCCTGTTTAATGGTTAGACACAGGTGGTTCCTGTTAATGATTACGGTCATAAACACATGACAGTGAAAGCACATGTATTACAAATTTGCCCAAGCATTTGTTTTTCAGAGTTAAGATGTTAACTATAGTAAAGCTACAGGTCAAAGAGTCAGATGACTATCACCTTAAACAACAAGAGCAGTGGGAAAAGCAAGTGTTAATTATTATTATTATTATCTTAATGTTTAACTTCCTGTGTCATCTAAAACTTTTTCCTTATCATTCCTCCCTCTGTTAATTTTGGAATAATTCTTCTATTATATGTTCTATGTATTTTATCTACATTTCTTAGCACTAGCATTTGATAGTGTTGAGCGGCAGCAATGCGGTGCTGTATAAATTTTGAAATCCATTGAATGACACAAGAACCGAACATTTATATTAATATTATATAAAGAAAGAGACTCAGAAGACGTCCTATCCAAGTTTTCCATCCTGCCAAAGTAAAATTAATTCCATAGGATGGCTCTCCTGTACCAAATTCATTATCAAGAGCTTTGATCCAACCTTTCAGTTTGTCTAGTGATTCTTGTATTACACCAGGTTTATTAGCATAATAACAACACTCTTAACCGAGAAATAAGCAAGTCCTTCCTTTCTGGGCTGTTAGCAAATCGAGAGCATGCCTATTCTGTAATACGACATTGGCCAGTGAATCTAGTTGGCTTCCCAAAGCCTGAATTGCATCTTGAATTTCCATAAGATCCTTTCTAATTTCTTGTCCTAATGAAATATATTGTTTTTGTCCTAAGCCAATAGCAGTCACTCCAATAGCAGAGACTCCCTGCGATTTCTAGGCCAGCTAGGATGGGCATCACTACTGGGTCCCTTTTTGTTTGAATTACATGTATTGGAGGGGTAATTTGTAAGGGGACTTTTTTCATCGCTTAGATAAATTTGGGATTAAAATTCTGAAAGCACACATTTTGGTAGTTCTGCCGGAGATCACTTTATATACTCCATCTCCACAAATGAAAAAGGTCCCATTAGGTGCTAAATAATTGTTTTTTTCCTTTAATAAGACTAGTACAAGTGTTCTTTATCCCATTGTCCCTTTGTCCCCCAAGGAAACATGTACCATTTCCGGTAACCTTGGAGGGGTATTTCAGAAGTGAATGCATAGCCTCCTTGGTGGTATTAAGGGTTAGGTTGGTGCAAATTCCTATGGCTTCATAAGTCATCAAATTTAAAGGGGCACATAACCAACAGTCCGATGCCAATTTTTCATTGTTAGTATATGGTGGGTGCTATTAATTAAATCAGTCATAGCTATGACAGTATAATTTCCAGGATGCCCCTTTAATATAGTTTAAATTTCTCGGAGAGCAGGGGTTTTTCTTATTTCGGGGGAACAGTTTTCCATATCTTTTTAATTTGCAGTGTCCACCATTTTATCTTTTGGGGTCCATGTTTAGCAGTGGATCGATATCTTTGTTACCAAATAGGATCCAATGGGGCTGGCATATACATAGATATAGGATTACATTGACCTTGTTTACAATGGTCACAATTGCCAATGGCTCGTCCTACAAGAGTGCTGTTGGTCCAAACTTGTGTTTTCTCTTTGGAATGTAATTTCTCATTAGAATAGCCCCCACAGTCAGAAGCCGCCCCAGATCCCCCATAATGTTCATTTGGGCAAGCATTAAAGAACAGTGTAAATGGATAGCCTTCCGGTTCCCATTTCACTGTTTTAAAAGTCACATATTGTTCATCAAACTTTTCATCACTAGGCTTAAACACCGGCAGTTCGAAAACAAAGAAACTTAGGGCAGTGGAGATTTGGCATAGCATAATAGTCCATGTCGTCTTTGTTGGTGCTCCCATTCTTCAGCTGTGCCTTGACTCACCAGCCTCTGGCGTGGTGAGAGCAGGGCTTTGAGTGCATTGTCTTTCTTGGCTTTCAGTGTCGGCCTTGGCGTGGGGTTTCTTCACTTGAGAGTGGTGAATCCACAGTTGGATTTCGGCACCTTTAACAGCTATGGGAGTAATGATAAGCGTAACATATGGTCCTTCCCATATAGGTTGTAGGGGTGTCTTTTTCCAATTCTTAACATAGATTAAATCACCAGGCTTAATCAAGTGTGCAGGAGTCATAGTAGGTAGGTTTTCCCTTGTTCTTAACTGACCTTGTATGTCGTTGTATGCTTTTCCTAATTCTAGCATTTGCATTTCCATCGTGGAGGTCCCTAATTGTGCGAGTTTGCCTGTGAAGTCCCTAAGTATACAAGGAGGTCTTCCAAACAACATTTCATAAGGCGTGAATCTCGTATGGCCTGGAGTGTTTCTTATTTTTAATAAAGCGATAGGGAGCAAACATATCCATGGTCCCTGTGTAGTTGAGCAATACTTTGTTAGTGTACTTTTGATAGTTTTATTCATTCTTTCTACTTTCTCAGAAATTTGTGGCCTGTATGCAGTATGTAGATACCATTTGATATGTAATATTAACTAAAGTTTGCAAAGTATCTGCTATAAAGGCTGGTCCATTGTCACTTCCCATAGAAAGTGGGAGGCCAAAACGAGGAATAATCTCCCTTAACAATACTTTACACACTTCTGAAGCCTTTTCTCTTCGAGTGGGGAAGGCTTCAGGCCGTCCAGAGTATGTACAAATGCAAACTAACAAATATTTGTAGCCTGTATGAGGTGGCAATTCTGTAAAATCTACTTGGATGACGTTAAAGGAGCTAGTACTGGTTCTTTGGATCCCTGGGAGTGGTTTTGGTCCTGTTGTAGGATTTATCTTTTGACAGGTCTGACATCTCTGAGATACATGTTCACATAGAGCAGCCACACGGGAGATATAAAAATACTTCTTTAGTAGCTTTTGTAGTGCAGTCTTTCTCCATGTGTTAACTTATGATACTGCTTTACCCAGTAATAGGATGAAGCTTTAGGAATAACTAGTCACCCTCCTGGAAGTACCCAAATGTTTCCTTGTTTCTCTGCAAGCTGTTCTTTTTTTGTTTGTACCAGGTATCAAACTCTGGTCCTTGTGCTTGCGCAGCAGGCGGTGAAACCACTGAGCTAAATCCGCGGCCCTGCAAGCTGTTCTTTAGCCCAGATGCTTTCCTTGTCTGAATATGTTATAGGAATCTATGGCTTTTGAGCACTTTGTTGTGCAGCTTGTGTCCTTGTTAGCACAGCCATTTGGAGTTTCTGTTTGGCAGCCTTCTTGGCTTCCATGTCTGCTTTATTGTTGGGTTGTGTAATGATGTCCTGAACAATGGATTACTGCGATTTTGCTAGGTTCTCACACTGCCTCTAGAAGCTGTACAATTTCCTCTTTATTTTTGTTTGCTTTCTGCTGTGAGAAGACCTCGTTCTCTATAAATCATTCCATGGATGTGCAATGTAGCAAATGCATAGCAAGAGTCTGTGTATATATTCATCTTCTTACCCTTTGCCCATTGGAATGCCTGTATGAGTGCCCAGAGCTCAGCACGTTGTGTTGACCAGCCGATAGGAAGAGGCACACCTAGGAGCACCTCATCCTTTGTGATTACTGCATATCCAGCATGAGAAACACCATTTTTCATGAAGCTGCTCCCACTCATGAACAGAATGAGGTCAGCATCGGACAAGGGTGTCATTTGTAGGTCAGGGTGGCTGGACAGAAGCTCATCCATGACGCTCAAGCAGTTAGGATGAGGAGGGCCTGTTTCTGTGGGCAAGAAGGTAATAGGATTTAAAGGTCTGTGAAAATGGGGGTTCTCACAGAAAAGGGCTTGGTACTGGGTAACTCTGTTATTTGAGAGCCACTGATGTCCTCTTGTGTTCAACAGTTTCAAGACTGTGTGTGGAATCTGCACAGTCATTTCCTAACCTAGAGCTAGCTTGTCTGCTTCTTGGGTTAATAAAACTGAGGCCGCTAAGGCCTGAAGACAAGGAGGCCACCCTTTTGCTACTGGATCTAAATTTTTAGACAGGTATGCCACTGGTTGGTTCTGTGGGCCTACTTCTTGGGTTAGTACTCCAAGGGGCCATATGGTTTTTCTCAGTCACATAAAGAACAAAAAGCCGCTTTACATCTGCTATGCCTAAAGCAGAGGCAGCTGTTAAAGTCAAGTTTAGTTTTTTAAAAGCTTCCTTTTCTTCTACAGTCCAAAGTAGATGATTTTTTTCTTTTCCCTTTAGAGTTTCATAAAGAGGTTTAGTGATCTCTCCAAAACCAGGAATCTAAATTCTACAGAAGCCTGCTCCCCCACAAAATTCCCTCAGTTTTTTCTTTGTTTGGGGTTCAGGAATGGCACTAAAAACCTGTTTCCTTTCATTTCCTAGATGATGCATGCCCTGCATTATATGAAATCCTAAATATTTAACATGTTGTACGCAAATTTGGGCTTTTTTCTATGATACTTTATATCCAGTTTCCTGTAAGTGGAACAACAATCCTTTTGTGCCTTCCCACCATTGTTTTTGGGTCAGGCTGCGTAAAAGTAAATCATCTACATATTGTAGTAAAACACAGTTATATTCCTTGGGGAAGGCAAGCAAGTCTTTGGCCAGAGCCTCCCTGAAAAGTGTGGGTGAATTCTTAAATCTTTATGGCAATCTGGTCCACGTAAACTGGGTCTTTGTTCCGTCATTTGCGTCCTCCCATTCAAATGCAGAGATTAGTGGACTAAGGGGGGGTGATGCGAAGGCAAAAGAAGGCATCTTTTAAGTCTAGACAAGTAAACCATCTTGCCTCTGGAGATATTAGACCCAACAAAGTGTAAGGGTTAGGGACTACCGGATGTAAAGTTATTGTTCTGTCATTTACAGTCCCAAGGTCTTTTACTGGCCTATAGTCCCTGTCAGGTTTCTTAACTGGTAGCAAGGGGATGGTCCAAGGTGATTTACATTTTCTTATAAATTCAAATTCCTTTAATCTCATAATGTGGGATTTAATTCCAATTTGGGCTTGCCTGGACATTGGATACTGTTTTACAGCAATGGGGGCAGAATTGTCTTTTAATCCTATAACTATGGGTGGCTAGTTCTTTGCCAGGCCTGGGGGGTTATTTTCTGTCCATACTCCAGGAAACATTGTTTTTAATTTTTGTGGGGCCTGGTAGACATCATCCACATTGTAACATTGCCATTCATCCTCTCTTTTGGTAGTTACTGTCATAATGAGATCCTTTCCTGGGTCTAAATGTAGAGACGTATTTCTGTTGAGTAAGTTATTATGGCTCCCAATTTAGATAACAAGTCTCTCCCTAATAAGGAGATAGGTCACTCTGGCATATATAAAAATTCATGTTTTACTTTATGTCCTCCAATTTCACATGTCCTTTCATAACAAAATCAGCACTTTTCTGAGATTCCAGTGGCACTGATCACTTGGATGCGTTTTCCCTCACAGGGGCGACTGGAGCTGTCACTACTGAGTGCTCCATCCCACTGTCTACCTTAAAGGACATATTTTGGCCCCCAGTCTTTATATTGACCATGGGGTCATGGGGGCCTAACTGCATCGAGCCCGGTCTGTGTCAGTCACTATCTTTCATCACAGGCAACAGTGTACCAGTATTTTTTCTTTTCTTTAATTTCTGCTTTTTCTTTTCTTTGAGCTTTGGGTACTTGTTCTTATAATGTCCTTTCTCTCTGTAATATGTACATTGGTCAAAATCTAAGCCCTCACATTTAAAGCCTTTCTTTTGCTTTCCTTTTGATTTCATTTCCTGTCTTTCTTCTTTTTTTTACCTTGGCTCCCATAGCCACTGCTATGTATTTCGCCCACCTTTTATCTCGTTCATTTTCCCTTTTAACTCATTCCTTCTCTTGCACTGACTCTGTTCACATATACTTTCCTAGCCAGTTGTAACAATTGCGTTATATTCATACTCTCCCAAGTTTCTTGCTTTTGAATTTTCCTTCTAATATCTGGAGCTGACTGGGTCACAAAAGTCATATTGATTAACTGATGGTTATCAGGAACAGCAGGATTGAATGGTGTGTATATTCTGTAGACTTTGCAGAGCTGCTCATAAAATCTCTCAGGGCTCTCATCGGGCTCCTGCTGTGTTTCTAGCACTTTAATCATGTTTGTAGGTCTTTTACTTATGGCTCGTGTTCCTGCCAGGAGGGCCATCCGATAATTGCTTAAGCTATCCTGGCCTCCGGGGGTATTGGGGTTCCAATTGTGCCACTCATTCACTGGAAATTGCTGTTCATGCCAGGCGTCTGGATTTTGTATGCCTGTCAGCATTCTAGCAGCATTGGTCTTTTTGTTTTGTTTTTGTTTTTGGTACCAGGGATTGAACTCGGGTCCTTGCACTTGCGCAGCAGGTGACGAAACCACTGAGCTAAATCCCTGGCCCATGGTCTTTTTAATTTCTCCTAAAACTCTGCATTTCTTCAGAGGTTAACAAAGTTCTACAGAGTTCTTTACAGTCCTCCCAGTTAGGACAGTGGGTAGCAAAGATGGAATCAAATAATTGAAGCATTTTAGAGGGATCCTTGGTAAAAGAGGGAGTACTTCTTTTCCAATTAATCAAGTCAGAGGAGCTAAATCATTGATATAGCATGACAGTGCCTCCCTCAGCAGGGTATTCTCTTAATGGCATTTGAAAGGTTGGTGCCGGATCGGCTGATCTAGTTCCGTGAGCTATTGGGGGCAGATCGTTCTCCCCCAGTGAGTTGGGGAATGGCATCCTCCAGTTCTGGTGGTATTTCGGCACCAGCCCCAGCTGCTCTCCCTCTATAGGGAGGTGGAGAATCTAGCATATCTTCCTGATCTGGTTTCTTTCCTTCCGTTTTTAACACAAAACAAGTGGACTTATTCCTTAAGGCATAGACCTGAAGCCAGGGAGGTGGCCTTATACATAGATCCAGCCAAGTGTCTATGTACGGAAATTCTTTCACTCGGCTTTGCTTGGTCACTTTATTACACACCTGTCTTACTTTTTTTATGTCTATACTTCCCTCTGATGGCCACTCAGGTACTATTTGTGGCCACAACAACTCACAAAATTTCTTAGGGTTTTTGGTCATAATTTCACCTCATAATCTCCTGCAAATCCTTTATCAAAATTCTGAATCATACAATCTAATACAGTTGGTTTAACATTTGTGTTTCCCATGATCACAGATAATTATTGCAACCCTTATACAGTGATGCAGGACAAACAAAGGTGGGGAACCGCTTAGAAGAAGTGATCACTCGCTCACCTGCCTGGCTTCGGGCCTCTCAGCCACTTTAAGGTCTGTTCAGGCTAAGGTGGGCTGTCACTTAAGCTCACTGTTGTGCCTTTGTTAAACAGGACCACAGAATTGCAGGACAGACCACACTCAGGTTCTGCTACTCGGGGAGGACTCTTTAAGCGTAAATGCCTCCTCCTCCCTGTCTTGGTACCACAGACGAGACTGTCTATAAGTTTTCACAGCTCGTTCCACTCACTCTCCTATCTAGAACTCTTTCACTCACACATTGATTCAGAGGTTAGCACACTCCCTCCCGGTGACCTCCAACTGTTACCAAAACAAATGGAAGGAGCTACCTTCCCAAACGGCAAAGCAGAAGGGGTGACAGGCCCCTGTGCTGTATTTGCCCAAAGTTACAAAATACAAAATCACAAAGTGAAACCAAAGTAAAACCAAAAGTTAATGACTAAGGGGTTTCCTGGGCTTTCTCACCCACCAAAGGAAAGAGACAAGATGAGACACCAGCAGCAGCAACCCTCCTTCTGTCGTCCTCTGTCTCAGGTTCAGGTGATCCACAACCAGTGAACAGGTCTCCGTGTCCTGTTGGGGAGCCTAGGAAATTAGTCCCAGAGGCACGCCTTTCCTCTCTAGGAGATGGAGAGTTGCTCCCTCTGGTGGGGTTTGGGCCAAGGCCCAAAAGGGCTATTTCATTCCTGATTTCCTGGTCAGGGAACGAAATGTTTTGGAAGTCATGGAAAGAAATACAGAGAGACACAGAATTTGGATAAAATAATAAAAGTTTACTTGCAAGCAGGTGGGACCACCAGAAACTGGTCTGGTCAGTGTCTGCACCGATGTTTGTTCAGTTTCCCTTTTTATACCCCTTTTTGGTCATTATCTCATCCCTAGTGGTCTTTGTTGAGTAAGTAAAATACCAGTTCCTGTTTAATTGTTTGACACAGGTGGTTCCTGTTAATGATTACAGTCATAAACACATGACAGTTAAAGTACATATATTACAAATTTGCCCAAGCACTGTGACTTTGTTTTTCAGAGTTAAGATGTTATCTATAGTAAAACTACAGGTCAAAAAGTCAGATGACTATCACCTTAAACAACAAGAGCAGATCTTAAAGGGATACATTACCTATTTTGCTTCTACAGTTATCTTAATGTTTAACTTCCTATGTTGTCTAAAACTTTTTCCTTATCATATGGAATTAATCTCACTCTTGTGGTGATTGTGACATGAAGTGTTGACTGTGGCTTGAAGAGTTGCTTCCTGCATATATGTACTGTTATTTTTGGTGCATGTCATTGTTGGTGTGAGGAAATGCAAATTCATTGAAAAACTTAACTGGATCAGAGTATCTTTTTTGTTTGTTTGTTTGTTTTTGGTACCGGGGATCAAACTCGGGGTCCTTCCAATTGCGGGACAGGCAATTGAGCTAAATCCCTGGCCCTCTTGTTTGGTTTTTTGAGACAGGGTCTCACTATGTAGTTCAGGTTGGACCTGAACTTACTATGTAGCCCAGACTGGCCTCAAACTCATGGCACTCCTCCTGCCTCAGCCTCCTGAGTCCTGGGATTATAGGCATGCACCCCCACACCCAGCTTAAATCAGTATCTTTTCTGTTTTGAATTTCTCAAGTAGTATCAAAAGTTTAACACTTTTTTTTTTTTTTTT